AAAAGCAAAAAATTGCCAAATTTTCAAAAGGTGCATGCCTGGGCTGAGGCGCAAGGCACATCAGGCGCATGCCTAGGCGCACCAGGCGCGTACGCCTTCTGAAAGGGTTGCGCCTAGGACCTAGGCGAGGCGCATACCCTGAAATGCACCTCACCTGTGCGCCTAGGCGCGCCTTTTAAATCACTAAGCAAGTTGCAAGTCAGATGCAACATATGGTAAGCAAACTTCTCCGGTTGTCACCCTTTCCCTTATAAGTGTCTATCCACTTCTATATGTTTCGTCCTATCATGCTGAACTGGGTTGTGGGCAATGTTAATTGTTGCCTAATTGTCACAATATAGCATCATAGGTTCTTCAGCCTCAACTCCAATCTCCCCTAACAAGGAACGGATCTAGAGGAGCTTTGAAACACCATGTGACATGGCTTTGTATTTAGCTTCTGCACTTGACCTTGCCATAATTATCTGTTTCTTACTCTTCCATGAAACTAAATTACCTCCAACAAGAGTACAAACTCCTGATGTAGATCTCCTGTCATCTAGGCACCTTGCCCAATCAGCATCTATGTAAGCTTCTAACTTCAACCGTCCATGATCAGCAAACAATATGCCTTTACCTTGGTGTCCCTTCAAATAGGAAAGTATCCTGTCAATAGCCTCCCAATGTTGAACTCGTGGGGCATGCATGTATTGACTCACCACACTCACTACATAAGAGATGTCTGGTCGTGTCATACATAAGTATAGTTCACCCTCTGAAGCCTTTATCCTGTGGTTCTGATCAATAGGTGTATCAACTGCCTTTGCCCCAAGCTTTCCTGTCTCCTGTAGTAGTTCTAGAACATACTTCCTCTGTGAGATGAAGATCCCATGCTTGGACCTTGCCATTTCAATGCCAAGTACTTCATCTCCCCAAGGTCCTTAATCTCAAACTCTTTGTGCAAATTCTTCTTTAGGGTACCAATCTCACTCAAATCATTTCCTGTAACTACAATGTCATCCACATACACTATCAAAACTAACACCAGTTACCCCCTCCTCTTCACAAAAAGAGTATGATCAAATTGAGTTTGAGTATAGGCAAATACAACCAATGCACTTCTAAACCTATCAAACCTGTCGTGTGAAACATTGAGAGACAGGACACAATGGAGGTGGCAAAGTGGGTGAGATAGCTAGGTTAGACACTAGAGTAAACAAAGGAACTGGAACAGGAAGTGGTATAGATTGCTCACGTCCTCCAAAACACTCCCCCTAAGAAGAACCCCCCAAGAAAAAAGGTGTGGAATCAAAAAAGTTGACATCCACAGTAACATACCGACTCCCGAAGACTGGATCATAATAACAATACCCCTTCTAATTTCCTACATACCCGAGGAAGACACACTTCTTCGCCTTAGGATCCAACTTTGAGCGGTAAGGACCAAGAACATGGACAAAGCATACACATCCAAACACCCTTAGTGGAATATGGAATGTCTCCCCCTTAGGAAAAAGAAGGTTAAACAGAGTGCTATATCCAAGAACACGAAAAGGCCCCCGTTAATCAAGAACACTATTGTAAGAACTGCATCACCCCAAAAACGAATTGGAACTGTAGAGCTCAACATCATGCTTCTTGCTATTTCCACAATATGTTTGTTTTTCCTTTCTGCTACATCATTCTGTTGTGGAGTGTATGTACAACTGYTCTAATGGATAACTCCATGCTCCAATAGGTACGATGATAGTTTTTTTTTTTCAAAGTATTACTTGGTAATCATCCACAAACAGAAGAAAATACCGATAACCACCCATAGAGGAAACATGGTATGGTCCCCACACATTAGTATGAACAATATCATAAACAAAAGAACATCTTTTATTACTATTGATAAAAAAAAAGGACATCTTTTATTACTTGTTTTAAAGGAATGTCTATAATGCTTTCCAAGTTGACAATCCTTACTCTCCAAACTGAACAAATTGACAGACCAAACAATTTGGGAAACAAAAAACGCAAAGAAGCAAAAGACAAATGTCCTAACCCATTATGCCAAAGCATAATCTGACCCATTGACTCCAACTCAATACTCCTGCTGATATGATTACTCTGATGACTAGGAAGCGCATCAAAAAGATAGATTTCGTTCACCTTACGACCAATCCCAATTGTCCTCTTTGCTTCCAAATCCTGCAAGACAATGATCAGGAGAAAAAATCACGAAACAGTTGAAATTCTTTGTTAAGCTACTAACAAATAAAAGATTAGTGATCAATCTAGGAACATGAAGGACAGAAGGTAGGGTAATGGTATTGGTTATCCTGACAAACCCTTTCCCAACAATGGGCACATGTGATCCATCAGTTGTGAAAACTCTCTCTTTGCCAGAGCAGAGGTGGTATGAGGTGGAAATATTGGTTATAAGTTCTGAGGCTCTTGAGTCTATAATCCAGGGAGGTCCCCCTTTACCTGTAGTGGATACATAATTTGCAGTGGCATGTGAACTACCTGTGTGTGCAAACGAGGTAGAATGACTACCTCCTGATCCACCTACACCTTGTTGTCCACCTGATAAAGAGTTGGAACTGGTTGTATCCTTCTGATTCAGGAACTGCCCATATTTCTCTAATTCGGCCCTCACTATAGCTATTGCAACAGACTCTAGAGAGGCTATAGTAGGTGGCTCTGATAAATCACCAATCACTATCATATTCACATTTCCCTTATTTTTGAGTCGGCTCGGTACAAGGTGTGGGTAAAGCTTCCAACAGGTATCTCTGGTATGTTTGGGTTTATTACAGTAGTCACAGATTAGATCCCTTTTGTCCTCCTTCCTCGGTTCATTTCCACCCTTGTCCCTACTCGGCTTAGGCTTCACTGTGCTAACCATAGCTGATTGCTCAAGACCTGGGTTCCTCATCATCACATTTCTCCTACTCTCCTCTCCAGACACAAAGGCATATGCTTGAGAGAGGGTTGCATTGTCTCGGGAAAGAATATGTTGTCGTGCAATATCATACTCAAGGTTAAGTCCAACTAAAAACTCAAAAACCCTATTCTTTTCTACCAGCTTCTAATAAGTTGTTGCATCTTTGCTACTTTCCCAAACAACAGTCTCCAAATGATCTATCTCCTGTCATAAGGTTTTGAGGGCTGAAAAATAAATAGCAACAAACTTATCTCCCTGCCTAGTAGCAATCACTTGGTTTCTCAACTGATAGGCTCTAGCAACTTTTTCATTCTACGAATAGATTTCTGCTACTTCATCGGTCCATCCCAAATCTCCTTAGTTGTGTTAGCCCATAAAAGCTCTTACTTATATGGGGCAACATGGAATTACACATCCGAGTCATCACCACGTAGTTCTCCTGTACCCATCGAGAATGGTTAGTTTTAGGTTTCTTTTCCTCACCGGTGACATACCCCAATTTCCCACAAGCACCAATGGCCATCTTTGCATATTGTGACAATTCTAAGTAGTTTGTACCATCCAACTTGACTATAGTGATGGTTTCGACCCCGAAGAGGTCTCCAATACCTCCTCCCCTGGATCTCATTTCTCCTGTAAATTTGTTTTCGACTCCACAGCCCTCCATAACTTTCATAATAGATTAAGAAATCAATTTGAGATGAAAAAGAAGGCATTTATCTCCTTTAGAAACCTCAAACACACTCTTGGAACTCTAGAAGCCCCTCCCCTCCAAAGATTCCTTTTTCCATGGGAGCAAGAGAAGAAAGAGAAGAGGTTGTCGCTCCTTCTAGAGACCTCCAAAAAGGTTGGGACTTGAACCGCCCCCTTCAGAAAACCTCAAGGAACTCTAGAAAACTAGAGTGCCACTTCCTAGGTCAAAAATGAAGAGTCCTACTAAAACAGGACTTTCCCCCTTTCTCCAGTTCTTCCTGATTTTGGTGTAAAACCCTAGACCAGCTACAAGGGATTGCAATTCCACCAAAAACTGGGCTTACCTGAAGTCTTTGATCAGCCCTTTACCTTATCATGCAGTCGGCCGATCTAGGGCTGCACGATGGAGCAGCTCAAGAAATCTTTAAACTTGCTCTGATACTAAGTAGAAAAGTTTGGACAACCTGTTTTGATATAAAAACTGTAAAAGAAAGAAGAAAAGAAAGAGGAGAAAAGGTTTCAGCTAAGAAAGAGGGAGAAGAGAGATAGAAGAGAATGGGGAAAGCTCAGAATTAGGTCTGGCCGCCCCTTCCATTTGATTATATACTCATAAATAAAAGAGAGTACAAAGACAAGTATGCCCTTAGTAAGTCGGCTACTTGTGAGAACATAAAAACACTCTTAACTTAAACATAAACTAATGGGCCTAAGGCCCAATAACTCCCTAACTATGCTATGTAAATAAAAACATGTTATATCAGCCCAAAACTCAACAGTTTGAAGGAGAAGGTAGGGAAAGGAAGGGAAAGATAGGGAAACCTATACAAGGTTTGTAAAGGTTTCCCTACATTTCCCTTCCTTTCCCTACTTTTTCCTTCAAACCAAACACAGCCTAAGATTCTTCTTCCTTCCTGCTTGCCTATTTGTAAATGCCATGTTTTCTGTATCATACAATTTTTAGTTTTAGTAATGGTTAATAAACTCATATCAATTAGAAGAATGCTATAGTCATGATTTGGGAGTTCTTTGTACTACACCATATTCTGTTTTATAGTTGGAATGGGTCACAGATGGAGCTATCTTTTAGGAGAGTAGAAATTGCAGTTCTTGATGTTGACTTCAATAGGTCCCTTCTTTTTCTTATAATTCAATCAGGTTTATGATTTCTTTTTTCCATCATGATTATATTCTTCAATTTTTAGTATTTAGTTCAAAACTACAACCTTCTGTCATTGTTTTGTTGCCAGTGATGATACGGAAATTTATGAAGGGCCCCTGTAGGACACTTTTTTCTTGTATAAGTCTGTATTTTCAGATTCTTCCAGTCTTTTTATTATGTCACACTTAATTACCAAACCAATCAATCCTCAACTCCTCAAGATGCACTGCATCATGACTCCGAGGTTCAACTGCGTTATAGTCCCATTGATTTGGCAGTCTTGGCTAAAATGTTTTGGAATGAAAAAAACCATCTAGCATAAAAATAAAATAAAAGGTAGAAAAATCTATGGTCCCTTACAATTGTTGTAACAAACACTTGATCTTTAGTACAGGCATTTTAGCAAACAGGAGAGAGGTACTTGAAGCATTATCTCTTGGCATTTTCACAAAGATTTGCAAGAAAGGAAAAAAAAAAAAAAAAAAGATGCTTTCCACCAAGTGATCAAAGTCCAGGGTCCCCAACATATGGTCATATAAGAAGGGGAACTAATCTGAAAAGAATCAGAAATGAGAAACAAATGTAACAACTGTCTCACATTGACACTCAAGAAAGGGGAAAAACTGAAATCAAAGTTTCCAAATACTACTGGCAAAAATGATTATTACTTTAAAAGAAGATAGAAGTCACTTTTCATACCTTTTTTTAAGAAAGCATGCAAAAATGCTCAACCAAAAAACCATAATCTGCCATTCTAAAAAAGAGAGCGAAGAAAAGTAAAGAAAGAAAAAAGGAGAGAGAATATGTGCATATTTAGATTTTATATACATAAATTACAGTCCATATTCAATTGGAAACATTAAGGCTGCGTGTTGTGTTGTGGGGCAGAAAAAGCATGTGGTTCCTGCAAGTTGGTGGATCTATTATCCATGATGCAGCATAAAACTCATACTACTTTCCACTTTGCATACAACCCATTTTTAGAGCTGAACATCTGAACATAGAAAACAGCAAATTCAGGAATCCTTTTCCATTTTTGTGATAATTTAAATACAACAAAGGTTTTAAATTTTAGAATATTTAACCATTTCAGACCCTTGGTCGGTGATTAAGTGTTCAAAATATTGTAATTTCTTTTATTACAGAATTCTTAGTATGTTGTTGTATTTTGCGTCTTTATCTGACTGGTTTTATATTTTTAATGATATTCCAAATTTTTGGTAAAATAAATCAACAATGTCAGTGTCTTTCTCTAAAACCAAATTTTCAGTGACATTAAAAACCATGAACACAGCCTAAACAAAATAAATTTGAAAAAAAAAAGAAAAAAAAATACTTTAAAATGATTGAAAACTTAAAATACAAAATACATGACTTGCCTGAATCCATTTTTATTTATTTGAAGAATGGTTGAGTCGTGCCTTGAAAACATCATCAACTTTGTCTTCCACACATAGCTCTCTACATTTCGTTTACAAACAAAACATAACTTTTCTTGTTCAGACACTAAAAACAAATGACCCAGAGTTCTCTGTTTTTCCTATATAGTGTCACTTTTATGCTAATAAACTATTATTAATTTTTATCACTAGCCAATTGCACATTTCATTTGATTCTATGTTTCAAAAGTAGATAGACCCATCTTTGGTTTCACAGGTTGATATATGTGTTTTTATATTACATATACATATTGTAATATGAATAGTACATATTATATATAATATTTTATATTATATGAAGATAACATAAATTTTATACATAATTATATCATCATCATCATCATCATCTAAGTCTTATCCTATATAGGGACATTTACACAAATCCTTTTTCGCCATTCTGTTTTGTTTAGTGTCATATCCATCGTTATATTATTAACACAAAAGACAATTAAAGACAATTCTGAATCCATGACTTAAGAGTTTGGCAAAAGTCTATGCTGGCTGCCAACCAGCATAACCCTCCTCTTTTATCGGGGCTTGGGACCGGTGCTGCTATATATTGTATTATACTTAATATTCTACATTTAAAACATAGGCCCGGAACCCAACCCAGCCCAGGCCTGAGCTTATATTTCAGGCCCAGTCCAGTGCCACCCCTAGTCACAGGTTGAGCAACCCAACGATCAGGGTGGGGCCAGGTCATTAACTTGAATGAAATTATATTGCTCGTGGTTTTGGACAAAGCTAACATTCATTGAAAGATAACAGAATTAAGAAAGTATGAAGTAAGAAGCATATCAAGAATCAGAAAATCCCATTTTGGAAATGAGATTCTTTTACAATATATTGCTACAATATGAACTATTTACTTAATTATGGTTATCTTGGTTCTAGTTATTGTAGAATATCTTTTTCAATGTGCATTAGATATTTAGGGTAACAGATCAGGGGAATGATTCTTCATCTTAAATTTAAGGTCTTCATTATATGTATATCACCCGTTCCTGGTGTTTTTCCATGTGCATAATGTGTTCTCATGTAATAAGCCTATTACATTTCTCATTAATCTCTTTTAGGGGTTGGATATGGCCCTTGCAAAGCTAAACAAAGGGGGGTGGGTTCACATATTTCCAGAGGGAAGCCGTTCTCGTGATGGTGGAAGAACCATGGGGTCTGCCAAGAGAGGAGTCGGAAGGTAAGGATTTAGTTTTTTTCTTTTTTCAAAATGTTTATGTCAATTTATGGTTTGTGAAGAAATGTGTTAGGATTACTATATATCTACAGAAAGCTGTGGCTTGATTTCCACAAATTAGATGTGTATTATTTTGTTGGACTACATCATGAAATAGATGCCTTTGTTATTTTTTGAGGTATGTAGAGATAGCTTCTTTGCATACTGAATTGGTCCTTGTAAGAAATTTAACAAGCCTCAGCATAATCAACTTGTCAAACACACATGCACATACCCATTTGCATATATGATAGAATTTTGAGCTGCAACAGTGATCAGAATGGGAAATATTATTCAGTTTTTTCCACAAAAATGAGAACAAATGATTCTAAAAGTGGAACACAATAAGCGTAATCCCTATCATATGTATATACTATTCAGTATTCACTCCTAAGATGCTCCTAACATTTGCAGTTTCTCAAAGTTGGTGCTCAGCGATTTGGCTACCTAGGTTTTTTTCCCTGATAAAAGCTTGCATTTTGCTTAATGTCTCCTACTTTTATCCCCATTGCRTCATTGTCTTTCTAATGTCTTATCTTATCCTGTTAAGCCAAAGTGATGTATTTATTCCCAAGTTTCCATTTTTTTTCTGCAGATTGGTCATGGATGCAGATAATATCCCCATGGTTGTCCCCTTTGTGCATTCAGGGATGCAAGAAATCATGCCAATTGGAGCAAGTTTCCCACGGATTGGCAAGACGGTAAAGTGTGCATATTTAATTTTTAGTACCCTTGCACTACCCACTTGAGCATACAAAACACACTTAAATTGGAAATGAAAAGAATGAAGAGGCTCTTTCCATCTTTTACCATACACAACATGACCTACAAGCATGGACTTTATTATTATCTTCCTTTTTTTCTTTAACCAGAGCCGAAGATCCTTATTTTCAAATCTAGTCTTTGCTGTTTACACTTTTGGAGCTGCAACTGCAATTATAGCAAAGAAAGGAGAAAGGTGTAAACAGTTATAGAGATTTTCAGTATTGTTTACGTATATTTCCATTGGCGATTGGGACTTGGGAGGCTCTGACACCTTTTCACATACTCCATGATTTAAATGCTCTTGGGAACTAACCTCTCCATTGCTTAAATTTGTAGGTAACGGTACTCATCGGTGATCCAATACAATTTGATGATTTGCTCCTCACAGCGGATGGTAAGCAACATGTATCAAGAGGAACATTATATGATGCCATATCCTCGAGGATTGGTCACAGGCTCTGTGAGTTGAAAGCCCAAGTTGATAAGTTAGCCCTTGAACAATCACTCCAAATTGAGGATTACACTTCACAAAATGCAGAACGTGCAAATGGAATTTTACAGCAGGTGGACTGGGAAGCATTTGGCATGACTAGTTTCATATTTACCGAAGATGGTTCCTCTTTAAGACCAGAAATCCCGACTCAACTGAATCTGAATGTTGAAGACCAAGCACCTGAAGCCATTTCGTCTGATACATGCTTCAGGATTGGGTTTTCTTACGGGGGTGGGATTGTGTCAAGGATTCGTGGTTATATGGACCCAACCGAGCTCATGGGATTTGCAGCCAGAGGTTTATTTATGAATAGTGCAAGGCTGAAGGAGAGTCCCTCAAGTGTCCAAGAAGTTGGTCCTTTGAAGGCATGGAAACAGTTTTCTGGAAGCTAACATATTCCAACAATGGAATTGCAGCTGACTTGAGCTGAGATGATCCAGTCTAGGCGAGCGGTGGCTATATTAGCCAATATGCAATTCTGTAAATTCAAAATTTTGTCGAACTAGCATGGAATAGATTAATTTTCAATCAATTTTCCTTGGCCTTTTAAACATCAACTAAACTAGAATGAAGTGGATCAAATATTATCATCGCAAAAAGACAATTCGAAGTGGATCAAATATCAGTAGTTTATACTTGTCCTTAAGAGAGCATAGTGAATTTCGCCAAGGAGCTCCGCCCCAATTTGGTTATATAACGCGAGAAATTATTTCTTTATTCAGACACATTTTAAATGCGGTGCAAAGCCTTCCACTTCCAGATGATGAGATGAGTAAAAGAACATAAAAGACGAAGTTGATATGTTAACGGAGGCCAAAATAATTGAAGGACATCTTGCTGGCATTCCTAATCTTATACATATACTGGGGCCGGGCCTTTAGCATGGTTATGAAACAGGACACTCTTTTCATTGGAGTGTTAGAAGAAAAGGGGAAGAAGGTTATGAAACAGAATACTGTTCAATTTTTGAAGCTCCTCCACTGTTCACCCTCCCTCCCGTTCAACTATCAACTGTAACCGGATGTTCACATGTCTGATTTCATAACCCTTCTTGCCCTTTCCTTCTTTTGACACTATAAAATGTGTAAAATGGTCAGAAAATATCATAAAGGATAATTTTGTTATTTTCGAATTACTTAATGCGTACCTGATGTCACATGACAGTGTTGACTGACGATGGTCAACCAACAGTAAAGATCAATTAGACAATTTAAAAGTTCAGGATACTAAAGATACACATTTTAAACTTTGGGGACTCAATTGACAAACATAGTTTTGGTAAGAATACAAGTACAAAAGCTAAGTAACGGCTTAACTGCCACTTTGAGCGGAATAGCGGATGACCCCTGCTGTAAGCCCCCAACAGCCAAAGTTATCCCTCACATCACATCCCCATTTTGGGGTGCAACTTGCAGTGGGCCTGAATCAGCATTTTGCAATTCGAACTCCGTCTTCCCATTGAAATCAACCAACCTGAGCCTGCCCAAATTACCTCACCTTGTTCCAAATATTCAGTCTGTGTTAAAGTCAGAAAGAAGACCTAGTAGCTGCGATGGTCGTCCCTTAATCCCCTGTAATATACGCGTAATACCCAAAAAAGATTGTTCGCTTTGGGAAAGGAGTTAAATCTCGCGATCTAAACCAAGTGTGAAACTCAACCTAGATCACAAGGTAATCCACACAGAGGCAAAGTTTCAAGCTGAGCCTGAATCTGCTATTTCTTCGTTAAAATCAAGCAAATTTATAGGGGGAAAAGGAATCACTTCAGAGAAAAGTTGTCAACGTATGCATCAAAACATGGGAAAAACCTCGCCATCACCCCTGAACTGGAAAATAGTGTAAAGGAGATTTTATAACAAGTTAAATTCGTGGGGAGGAGCATGAGGGAGGGCAGGGGGACCAGGAAAAAAAGAACATACAACAATAACATGATTGATTGATTGGCCGTTGGGTCAGCGCAGGGTAAGAATTCAATTTGAATGTTTATAGACCTGCAATGGAATTCAGAAATCTGCATTGGGCCTGGCCGTACGTTTCCGAAAAAAGGGTTAAGTAATAATTACTCTGCAACCCAATGATTCCCAACATCTGAAAATAACATCTAAAAATAACATCAACACAATTTCAACATGCTGCCTTGACTGATCAAATCACATCTGAAACTAAAGATGAGACTTTAGGATTCATGATTTCATTTGAACCAATGTTTCTCCAACACAACTGAGCTAATACTTTTATAATAACCATTTATTAGCAAAGTCGGCATTAAAAGCATCAAATTTGACAGCAAGATTTATGTCACTAAACTGTCTTCTATATAATTTCAGCATCAAAAAATTAAACAAGTAAAATGATGAAATGGTAATTTAAATCTGATTCTAAATTCATTAACAAAACATCACCTAAAACCAAATCAAAGTCCCTACAAAAACAGGAAATTGATCAAGAACCGACAAGAGGATTATAGCTTTAGAAAGGTGCGACCATTAGTTCATCCTTCTAATAAGTTCATTGATGTAATCTTCCCGATTCCCAGCATCACCACCTTCAACATAATGGTTTCTCTTCTTCTTCAAGCCGCCAGATGGAGCACTCAACTTGAATGGCCAAAGAAAATTGTTTGCCTCCTTGAAGTGGGGCCCCACTGTCATGATCTCATGGATCAGATCTTCCACGCAGATGATCCCATGCTTGCCTAGGGCCTGCGGTTTTATCAAACATTAGTATTTCACCATGTATTTTTATATGTCCTCTTTTTTCAGCGCTTTGGAGATTGGGAGAGGGGGTGGAAATAACACAACAAACAGATAGCGTACCTGTTCAATTATAGAATTATCGGTCAAAGCAATCCGCTGTTTATTCAGCTTACCATAACCCCTCTTGTAAATCAATTCTCTGACACTTTTTAGGTTAGGATATCTGTGAAGCAAACAGAATTTGAAAGAAATAATAAGCTTCCTCTTTTTTCTTGTTTCTCTGGAGAAAAATGGGCTACTTGCATGATCATCTTTCAGAAACTTGACAACAGAAAAAGATATGCATTACTCTGACCAACAAAAAAAGTATTTACTTATTTTTGCCAGCCACGAGGAATGTGATTTCCAGGTGGGCATGGAAGGAAAACAATAGATCAGAAGTACAGAATTTGGATTGCCAAAAAAATAAGAACAACGGCATTATTGTAAATGAAACATAGGAAGAGTAGGCAAAGGAGTTAACTCCTCCCTTCTATATTTGGGTAATAGATATTTTGGTAGGGGGGTATGGCATTAAACAGAACAGAATGATGAAACAGGATTCAAGTAGTCTGACACCCATATAGTGATTTTTGTTCATTGTTGAATTAGACCGCATATACAAAATGCAAATGCAATGTGATGGTGCAGGAGACAGTTGAACTGGGAACCTTAAACCCTTTCCCAGTTCAATCACCCTTCCAGGTACCAAGTCATTTACACAGCAAGAAATACAAAAAGCTTACCCATATGTCACGTAAGGTTCAACCCTGTGCAACATATTCATGGTTGCTTTGTTTACTTTCAGAAACACGCCATTAAAAATCTGCAGGGAAAAGCATATGCATAAACTGTAAGGAACAGGATAGTACAAAGTCAAAGGAAACTCAGAAGCAGAAGAAAAAAATTCGATTTTAACCTGTCTCAAGCGGAGTAGTTGCAAGATCTTTCTCGTCTTTGGGTGCATCGCATTGATACTAAACAATAAAACAAATTATCAACACAATGGTAACAAGTAAATACTGATTCTTATTAACTCAAAACATAAAACAATGAAACAAAAACAAATCAAAAGCTCAGGTAGGACTCAACATGGTCTGGGACCCCATTTCTTGTCATCCATACCTCATTCAGATGATTGGGATCCACCATTGAATAAACCACACCTTGAAATCTTTGAAAAAAAATGCATAGAGCAAATGGTTTAAACTTTAAAGTGATTTCACTATGTATGCTTGTGTAAGCTCTCACTTATCTTCCAAGAAAACACGAATTCCTATGATCACATGTGGCTGGCAACAACATAAATTTGAAGGCAACTCTATAAATATGTATACATATTTTCACCTTCCAGATTTGTTAAAATTGTGTTTGGCATGATAGAAAAGAAAAGAGAAACAGAAAGTTGAGGGAAAGTTCTCAAGGAATTTCTCAAAAATTTATTAAGAACTTTCCCTCAGCTTCCTGCTTCTCTTATTATATAAGAAACCAAACATAGCCAAAATTCATTTATTTTGACATATCAGTTACGTTATGCATGTGCTCGAGTTATGGTGCATTTGGGTTTAGTTGCTGAATTGGAATAATAAATCCCACAGATCTCCCTAATTCTGTAGGTTGAATCCATTTCGAACATTGCACAATTCAGCAACATAATAGTTTTTTGTATTTGATTTACACATTTTAGCAGAATTTAAAATGTCATAGGAGTTGGTCCTTCCAAATACACACAAGTGTGATAGGGATGGAATTCAAATCTGATTTTGCTTCTGCATTCCAAATGCAGTTAATTGATTCCCTGTAGTTTTCAAAATACAAAAAATACATTTATACAAATCAAGTGGGAAATAGAAACTTGTAATATATTTTTGTGACCGTCGGCATAGATGTTTAGACTGAAGACCTAAGTTTCACATCTTGTAATGCAAATTTAACCATAATTTTTAGAAAGTAGTGAAATCTAACCATAACTTTTAGAAAGTAGTGATTTTAAAGGTGAATTTGGTTAGGTCATGGAAATAGAAAACATCACAAGTACAAGATATATTAAAGGGAATATGGAATGTATAGCTTCTAAAATAAGTACCAAAACTTGGATTAAGCTTCTTAGTTCTTAATACTAAGAATTTTTTTTGGAAACGGTAACTTTCATTAATATCAGTTTATTAAAAGTTTAGACTATCCCTTTACCTCAAGGTTCTTAATACTAAGAATAGGAACATGGGAACATTACAGGTTAGAACATCTGTCATAAACTTGGTTAAATCATGGTGGCAAGTGCAAAGGATAGGAGTCTAGGAGATCCTACAGCCAGTGATTTAAAAGTCGCACCTGAAGCGCACAGGYGAGGCGCATTTTGGGGTATGCGCCTCGCCCAGGTCCTAGGCGCACATCTTTCAAAAGGCGCGTGCCTGGTGCACCTAGGCATGCGCCTGATGCGCCTTGCTTATGTTGTTCATTCATTCATTGCAATAAAATATTTTCTTAAAAGGCAATGAAAGTTGTAAAATCATTATTTTTTATGTGAGAAATAAAAATTTCAGACCCTAACATAGACTTGTTCGGGCTTGCCTCGAGGGGCGTGCTACAAAGGTGAATCATAGAATCAAGAATGCAATATGTTTTACATCACATTAACTACTTGAAGCAATGCAATTAAGGAAAAAAAAAAGAGATTGTGGGTTTTACATGCTTGAAAATGCTTTATATGTTTGCTTTTATTTTTAAATTTTCATTTGAATACACTTTACATGTTATGTTTATGTACTTTAATTTTAGATAATAGGTTTTTTAAAATTGAAGTTTACATTTTTATTAACATTATGTTTAATATTTTTTGCATTTTTTTTATTTTTTGGCATWTTTTWGAATTTTCTGACCTTTTTTTTTATTTTTTGGCTTTTTTTTGTAGTTTTGCGCCTTTCTTAAAAAGGTGCACGCCTTGCCTTGCGCCTCAGGCGCAAATTGGCCCTTGCGCTTTTAAAACACTGCCTACAGCAGAAGGAAATGCCTTGAAATCTGAAGAAAGAATTAAATGACTAGAAGCCCTCCTACAACCAAGAATTGAGTGCCAAGAAAGATGGAGAACAATATGACAAACTTGAAGCTTACCCACGGATACGAATAATGAACAGCAATTTTGCTTCTGGATTAACATAGAAACCACCTTTCAGCTTGGCCTCACGCTTCAATCTGATTAGCTCTTTCTCCTGTCAATTCAATTCCACATACAAGCACATAAATATAATCATGAAGAATATTATTAAGCAAAAAATTAGGGAAAATAACAAGAATCAGAAATCAAGAATCGATACCTACTACATATAATTGACAGAAAAGAAATTGCTTAACCTGTTCCTGGTATTCTTTAACATATTGTTCAGCCCTCTTGAAGATGAGTTTTCGGTTCTCAGCATTCTTCTTCTTCTGTGCCTCCAATGTTTGCTTTTTGGCCAAAGCCCATTCTTCACTTCTCTTCCTCTTCTTGAGGACAGACTCGGGAACAATAGCCCCTCCTTTGGTTTCCTCTTCACCCATCTCTGAACCAAAATAGTTAACCAATTAAAAAGAAAAACAAAAAACACAATTTGATAGAACCCCATTAATTAGATTTGTAAAAGGACCATTAGTACCTCTAGATTGTTCCTAAAATGCAACCAGTTACTGATTTTCTGATCAAACTAACATGGCATGCCACAATGCAAAAAGGGAAGATACATCCATTAGATCAATCATATTCAACTGGTTTTGTCAAGTTACCAAAAGCCAGACTCTGGTTCAACAAACAGAAAGCCTTTTTGAATTGAAGAAATAACTCTAACGTTTATTGCTCTCCTTCCCAAGGAGGCTCCTTGGATATCAAAGATAACCCAATTGCAATAAAAAGATGACACCACACAATCTTCCTTGGGGCAGTTTTTGACCTCAGAATTAACTTTTCCAAGAGCAGCTCGGTAGGTATCAACATCATAAATAATAATAATAATAATAATACTTTGGACCTTTATAGAAGAATTTTGGGCTACAGAATGGAGAACTAGTCCATCACTTATTTGGGGATGGCTTTTGGTGGCAATCCCAGAATCCTGAAAATATGGGATTCAATGATTAAGAAATGCAAGATGATCTTTGCCCCATGGAAGAAAAATTATATAACACTCTCTAATCTTCTACCTACCTCTTACCAATTCTCTAAATCTTGGGTAGACTAACCACATAGAAGAGCCTCAAAGGAACTCCCTATTGGATGGGAGTGGTGAAAAAAGAGATCCGGTGAATTGTGCAAAAGTGTGCAAGCAGGAGGGCAGGTTGGGTCTTGGCCACATTTCTCAGTGAAAACAGCTCTTCTTAGTAATTGCTCTTTAAGTACCATCTAACTTACTTTGGGCCTCCATTACATTATATGTAGCATCAATCAAGTATGGAAAGGAACCACGTACTCTTTCATTAGATAAGACGTAGGAAACAGGAACCACGTAGTCTTTTAGACAGACCTGTCACTTCTGATGGGGTGAAACCATGAAAGGTCTTTGGCTTACCTCCTCCTTACTTCCCACAGAATTATAGACACTCTAGAAACTGATAGGCTGTAGGCAGTTGTGTCTTCTTGACACTGAGAGGAGAACTAGATCAGAATTGCAACTGGACCTTTCTAGACCACTAAGCAGAGAAGAACTAGAGGAAGTAGCACTTTTGAAACCTTCATGGTCTATCCCTCCCCTTCCATCCCCACAGTTGGGCATGGAAACCWAWTCCATCCAAGCAGTTCTCCACTATCTCTTGTTTTCAGGCCATCGTAGCATTTCCAAAAACCAGAATTTTACTGGAAGGCAGAATCTGGAATCCCATAACTCCCACTCCCCTCCGAGTACCTCTTTTTTGTTGAAGGAAATTCCTAGGAGAACCAAGACTTGTAATGTGTTAAAATAAAAAGACTAGGAAGACATTGGATCTAACCCCATGTATATGTCATGTGTCTCCAAGAAGAAGAATCTGTTGCTAGTTACCTCCTCCCCCAATTTGAGTAAAGAAGAAGATTGTTGCTTCTTTTTTTAATGTGGTAAGATGTGGAATAGTTGCTTCGGAAACCATAAGTGATTTCCTCCGGTAATGAAATTGCTCCCTGTTAGGGAAGATGGAAGAGATATTGGAGAGATGTCACTCTTGTGGTCATATCGGGGATATGGGAGGAAAGAAATAGAATGATTTTTGGCAATAAAGCTGTGACTCACAAGATCCTGTGAGACCATTCTCCAAACATGTTTAACTCGTGGATGCTCATCTATGAAGGTTTCCATGGCATTATAGTGGTTCAAATGCCTAGCAGACTACTATTTCAGAAAGAAAGTTATAAAGCCAGGCTTCTATTTGATGGTAGTTCTTGAGGCAATCCAGATGGCAGTGGTACCAGGGGGTGTCTTCTTTAGAGATGATGGCAGTATCCTTAGGGCTTTCAGTGGGCCATTAGGTACTGCCAATTCCATCAAGAATGAGGCCATCTCCCTCATGGAGGATTGCAAGACAGCTAAACCTCTTTCTCCAGCCACTAAAGGGGACTCAGTTAACACAATAATGCATAAAGGCATAGGAAAGGGCCAGTAGAGATTGGAACATTTCCTGAATGAAACCAGAGATCATCATAAATGGAATACCATTTACCAAGGAATTGAACTCCGTGGCAGATGGGCTATCCAGTCCCAGGTGGAGACTGGAGAATGTTTTTTTTTCTAGAGAAACAGATCACTAGCTTTATAATTCTTCATCTTCGTTTGTTACACACATTTTTTAGTACACCTTTTATCTTTCAGTAATATAATGATGGTATACTGTTACCTTCTTGAGGCAAGAAAAAAGTAAGGAAGGAAGAAAACATTTGTTATGCCAGACTTACCATTACATTTATTATTCCATGATTATCGACTAAGTGTTTGGAACCAATTATCTAAAATAATAAGCATACCTATACCAAATAGCTAGCCAAATAGCAAATGAATGTCTAGAACCACTGTTGACTGCTTAGGAGTATGCTTGAACAAATGGAAACAGACCTTTATAACGCATTAACATAAATCAATCAAACAAAACTTGAGGGCCATGGCATTGATCAAAAAAAAAAACTTGAGGGGCATGGATCCAACTAAGTGTATCCAACTGGGTCATGAGCCAATGTTGGTCCCAGCTATATGGATCTTGAAAGGGCTAAAACAGATACAGACCTATCCTCTGGCATTTTTACACAAAGTGGCTGCTTTCAGACTCAAAAACGCATTCACAAGCTTGTCAACTCAAGATTTCATCATTAAAACACACAATGCAGCAAAATAAGAGCATCCAAAAGTAGTGACCTGCTTCAATCACTTTATAAACAAAAAATTCCTAACACAAACATAAATCAGTCAAACAAAATTCGATAACCATGGATCCAACAGGTAAAACATAGATACAAGCATCCACAGGTAGTACTAAAATAACGTGGCCTGCTTCCCTGAACGAGAAGGCAAATAATTACTTGATAAGTCAAAAGCCCTAAGCTGAATTGAACTAATTGAGGAGATACGAGAACATACCACCACCCCCAAGACCAAAACAAAATTCGCAGCATAATACTTAGTAGTCACTTGACATGGACATGCTTATGCATGAAACAATAGACATAAATAGATAAAAACTGACAGGTGCGGGAAAAAAACCTCATTTTTACACGAGATGAACCAAGGAAAACACATCAACAGAAATCGAACTGAATAAACTACAAGTCGATGACAACCTTCTTTTCTACAAGGATGAACAGGTAATTCACTAATTGAAAATTACACTTAAAAGGCTAATGTTCGGATATATTACAAGATCAAAATAAACAAAATATGTAACTCGTACATCAACCAAGCAGGCCTTTTCGAACGAAAGCAATAATAACAGAAAATGGATTTGAAGCTTAATAAGATCCTCTAAATCAGTGACACCAGTAACCCATCTCTGCGGATGTCGAATAACAGACATAAGAGAAGGTAGAAAACAAAAAACATTGGTGGATTACCACGGCACAGAAGCATCAGAAGTTAAAAAAAAAAAAAAAGTAAGCAGCATAGAAGTCAAAATCAATGCCGAAATCTAAACCGAATATCACCAAGTTCCAGTTGTTTTGGCAGTCTCCAGCCATGGAGAGAAGCATAAAAGTAATATAATCACTATATATTCCCAAAATATCAACAAAATGATCTATCGGTGAACAATGAAATCGGAAAGGGAAGAAAAATGAGAAATAATCACAACGGCGGGGGAAAGCGTTAACTACCTCTTCGACGCAGTAATAGAGCAGCTGCAGAGAGGGATGGAGGCCGCGAGCGGGTAGAAGGAGAAACAAAAAGCGCAAAGAGATGCAATACTTATGGGTTGTACAAATGACCCTAAATGGCCTTGGAGTCCGTTCTATGCCCTTATTTTAGGGCATAATGAAAGGGTATTGATGTCTTTGCGTTCAAATATTTGACCGCCACCTAAACTGATCCATTTAGGGCGATCACATATTCGCTCCCACAGTCCTATGGTCCTACCATCGTAGGATGCTTTTGTTGTTGATTTTATACGAAAATCTTAATTTTTAAACCCTAGCATTAAACAAAACACTAACTTTAAACTTGGATGCTTTTGTTGTTGAATTGTATACGAAAATCCTAAATTTTAAATCCTAACCTTTTGTTGTTGAATTTTATACAAAAATCCTAAATTTTAAATCCTAACATTAAACTAAACCTTAACCTTAAACCCTATATTTTAACGATGAATTCGGGCATACATCCTTAGTCGAATAAGCACTTATTTTGAATCAAGACTACACCATTATGCATAGGGGTGCAACTTGGGCGGGCTCAGTTCGAGCCCGAACCGGTTCAACCTAGAATTTTACACGGGTTGGACTTGAATTTTCGATCTTTGGGATGGGCTCGGGCCCAAGAAGTTGGGCTTTTTTATTTTTTAGGTCGGATTYAGGCTATATACATTTATACATATATATGTGTTTATATATGTAAGTGTTGCATATATATTTGTATATATAACATTTGTATAGATATTTTGTATACATATTTACATACATACATAAATATATGTATATATATTTACATAAATTATATATGTATAATTTTAGAATGGATTTATTGATCAACCCAAGGCCGGCCTGGGCCCAAGCCCAACCCGAGTGCATCAAATTATAGGGTRGGCTGAATTCGGATTGGAAAAATCAGGCTTGACCTCGAGCTCGGGCCTTAAGCCCAAATTTTAGGATCGGGCCCTGAGTTGACCATAAACCCGACTTGCACACCCCTAATTATGCACCTATTTGCATTTGGGGAGTTTAAGCACTTAAAAATTTTGGTTTATTTTTAAATGCTTATTTTCTTTTTTGTTTATCTTAACTCGCCACACCACTTTAAAAAATACCTATGCTACCCCGGTTTCAAATAAGTGTCTTTTTCACCAAATTCTTGTGATGACTTATTAGAATAAGTACTTGTCTTTCAAATAACCACTCCCAAAGTGAGTTGGACTTTGTTTAAGCGAAATGTGTGCCGTTCTATATACACGCACAGGTGTTGATCTCGTGTACACGTTTTTAATTCTGGGTGTAAGCAAGTATAATCTCATGCTATGTATACACACAAACATATTAATTCCAAACAAGAAGGTGTAAGCAGATTGAAATTGGCACCTTTCAATTCTGGGTGTAGTTTTACACCCAGTTAATTCCAAACAAGCGTAGAATATACACTCAAAATTTAAAATTTTCTTCCAAATGTATTACAATGCAAAGTTTACATTGACCGGTTTAATTTTTGCATTTACACATCTCGCCGGTTTTCATTTATCGATGTATTTTTGGATTTACACCTCAAACAAATGAAACCTAAACCTTTTAACCAAATGGGAAAAAACAACTATTCATCGTCTTCTTCTTTCGTAACCAGCGGCGGTGCCAAGCAGCGACAATCTCCCCTACCACGGCAACTACCCTCTCCACAGCAATTTTCCTCTTTCTCTCATCTTTTCCACCGTTTTATTTTTTATTCTCTTCTCCCCCAGTGATTTCAATCTCTGCAACCTCCCTCTTTCTTTCTCACCATCCAACACCCCAAATCAACAATTAACATTAAATAAAACACCACCGAATCAGTACCTGGCATTAAACAGACGAAATTAATAAGAGAGGGGTTTCGGCCAGATATTGGGGGTTTTGCACTTGACATTAACTAGCCAAGCACCTAGCAGTCTCGATCAGTCAGGCCCACCCTATAACCAATTTAGACTCATGAATGAAAAACAAAAATTAAACCAAAACCTATAAATGCTAACTTATTATCGGATTTTCATTCCCATTTAAATGTTATTTTTCCGTTTGAGGGAATGGTCATTCTCTACCCTTCCTTTGAGAATAAAATCTTATTCTTATAGATTTCAATTTTCATTTTCATTCCTGTCTGAACCAAAAAAACTATAGGAATAGACCATTTAAATTCTGATTCCAAAAGATTTCGATTCTAATTCAGATTCCAATTCGGATTAAGAACCAAACAAAGCCTAAGTGCAACAAAAGAGAAGCTAAAATAAATCTTGTAGCCTTTCATACAACACACGCCGTTACAACAGGGGTACCCATGAGATTGCTATTGTGACTTCAACATGGGAAACCGATGCTGATTTCCAGGTCTGATTTCTGAATGGGGGAATTTGACGCAACGGTTTTGAAACACAAGTACAGCTTTAGAACCGGAGGGCAGCTTTGATGCAATGGCTTCAACCATCAACTCGAATAGAAGTCTGATTTTTAGGTGAAACAATGGTGTGACTATCTTAGTAGCAGCAAGTTCAGCGAGGAGGCTTTGTTCGGTGATGTAGGGTTGGTAGTGATAGAGAAGATGGGGGGTAGGAAGAGATAGTAAGACAAGAAATGGAGAGAGAGAGAGAGAGAGGAGATTTAGGGAAGAAGCTTGTCGTTGTTGTCCTGCTCGATCCGTTGAAGATGAGTGAATAATAGATTTAGGTTTCTCCGGCGAATCAAAGGTTTAGGTTGCAAATTTAGCAGAGAGGAAGACTGCAACATCCATCATCCATATAGACTTAGAAAGTTGAAGTTTCAGTAGAAAAATGAAGCTTGTCACTGTCGCTAAGGTCTGAAGAGCGTAAGAAGCTGTCATCAATGGCTGGCCTTTCTCCGAGACACAAGTTGAGGTTCTGTACAACATAAACGAACAACTCCAGACTGAAGACATCGATGCCCCTTTCACTAAGGTCTACACCGTTAAAAAGGTTGCATTGGTTCTCGTCACCGGCGATTGGAATTTTTGCCTTGTGTTTACATCATCTATTCTAGTTCAATCTTAAGGTAGAAGATGATAAACAATATTTTTTTTTGTAGTAGTAGTTTGGAGTTTAATATCAATAAAAATAATATATTTAAAAATTTTCAAAAATATGTTAACTTTTTAAAAATAATATCAATAAAGGGCAAAAATATTGTTCATCTTCTTCTTCTTGCCATTTGTTCAATAGAGCCGCTGTCCGCCGCCGCCCACAACCACCTCCGTCTCTTCCTCCGGCAACGTTGCCAGAGGTGGCAGCGGCGGCGGCGGCGGACGACGACGGCTCTAGTGAACAAATGGCAAGAAGAAGAAGAAGAAGAACAATATTTTTACCCTTTATTGATATTATTTTTAAAAAGTTAATCTATTTTTKAAAATATGTTAAATATATTACTTTTATTAATATTAAACCCCAAAAGTTGCCCTTATATGCTAAAAAACCTATTTTTTTTCAAAGAATAGTTTCGACATTTTAAAAAGTTTTTAAGTCACATGGCATCACATGATATAGATGACTGATGGACAGTTAACAGTAGGGAAAGTTTGGGGATTGAATTGCGACCACTCCTAAAATTAAGGGTATGACCAATAATTTTCCTGAGAAAAAAAAAATCAATTGCAACCATAATTGCATGCAACATGTGACCCTTAATGAAGCACAACACAAATACACCGATATTTGCATTAAACTTGAGACATCAGATCAATTGATTTTTTTTTTTATTTCGAAGGTTGGCGTGTTGTGTTTGAATGGGAGTTGCATGTGACCATGGACTTGGAAGATTTACTCTCAATGGAAATAATGTGCATCATGCAATGTTCAAAGCCTGGATATGATACACCATATATTGGGTGTATTGTTATGTATAATGTTATGGGATAAGAGCTCTAGCAAAATATCAAACGAAAACAATGAAGAAAAAGAGTTTCCATCATTCGAAACGCTCAATGCACGAATTTGGCATATCGAGAGTATCAATACTTTGAGCCCTCGTGTTATATAATTTATGTTCACAACCAATTTTTAGTAGATTGTTCATGGGATTATATTAATGCCAACAATTATCGACTTTTTAGTTCATATGGTCTTGGTTGTTGTAGTGGTAACTTGTGATCAAAACTCACTTTACCCCTATTGTGTAACCCCATGGAACTAAAGAAAAGGAACACGAAGAATAATCGTTGCATCAAAATGATGCAAAGGAAGATGCTATATTGCGAGAGAATGAAGATGCAGCAATTTTAGTGGTAGCTAGAAATTATTTTAGGTAGGGGTGAAGTCAAGAATTTTTCTGAGGGGGCCAAAACTTAAAGTGGATTGGGGGAGAGTAAATATGGATGGACCATTGGGGGAAGGGGGGACCATTTGGGTGGGGAGTGGGCAAGGGGAGAAATATACACGTAAAAGTAGGGATTTCTAGGCCATTGGGGTGGGGGTGGAGGACGTGGAATGTGTCACAAACAATAAAAAATTTGAATGCCAATAATCATTTATATAGCACTAGAGAATAATTCGTATGGCCTCTATTATTGGTAGGGGTATTCATGAGTCGGGTTGGGTTGGTTTCAATGATTTTTTTTTAATCGACTCAACCTTATCGGGTTGCTTATTCACCAAACTGAAACCGACCCACACTAAAGTAAAACTGACGCAAACATGAAGGGTCAATTTAGGTCGGCTTGTTGGTTTAGCTGGTTGGTTTGGGCAATGGGCAAAAGCAAGAGGCTGTGTAGTGTTTAGTGTGTGCAACAGAAATTTCAAATTTCTCCCCAAGTTTGGCAAGTTTAAAGCCTTGGGGATCTTTTCTTGCAGAGCTTGCCCATCCCAAAAATGTAATAAATAAAAAGACATTGAAATTGACTCAAGCTTTCCCCCCTTATCTCATTTCCATGTTTCATTTTCGGTGTAAACTTTGTAGAAAAAGGAAATAACAATCACAATACAAAAGCAATTCCCTATTTAACTAATGTTACTTAAACTTAAAGCTAACTAGGATAGAAAAGGACTATGACTAAGAAAGTAAGAAGCAATATGACAATAGCCAAGGATGGAAACACTCTACATTAGTGCATTACATGTTCAGTTCAATTCGGTTCTATTTCGATTTTCAAGTATGACAACTGAAACCGACTTGATCTATCGGTTTAGTTACTTGCAAGAATCGAAACCGACCGATGGTTTTAAAAACCCGACCAAATCGGGTTGGGCCGATCCGATTTGATTGGTTTAGTCGGTTTGACTTACAATCTGAACACCCCTAATCATTGGCTCTATGGGGCGAGGTGTTGAACAACATACCTAGTTAATGGGTTAATGGAATTATTAGGGTTCACAAGGTGGGCATTGACACAACATAGAAGTTGATTGGTAAATGAGAAGTAAACCAACTATTGAAAAAGAGATTTACTATCAAAATTGAGATCCAAACACAACATTTTGAGCACATTCAACAAGCACTTAATAAATATTCTAGCAACTGTATCAAAAGTTGTTTTTAATCTTTATCAGTGGTAGGCTAGGGGTATTTTAAGGGACATGTGTCAAAAGGATTTTTTTAAGTGCTTACCCGATGTGCTCACCATTTGTGCCTACCTGATCCAGATTGTTACTAACATGCTCGGTAGGAGGACACTCTAAGGCAACAATTGAATATTTGTTGAGGCAATTCTTGCTTGTCTTCAATTGTGTTTAGACCTCTCTCTCTCTCTAATGGTTTTAATTCTTTTAAGAGACCTTTGAGTATCGGAAAATCTACAAGTTTTATATAATAGCATTACATGTCTTAGGCCTAGCATATATTGATGACTCATTAGGTGATGTTTGGTATGACTTCTATTTATTTGAAAATGTTTGTGATGTTGTACGATCTGACTACTCCTTGTTGGAGGATGATCTGGTTTCCAGTCGGACGACGAGCTAAGTGAATCTACAAGAAAGGATCAGAGAATTTGGGGTGGCTAGCCGGCAAGGTCGCTCCAATGCTTAAGTCAGTAAACTGATGCGAGCTGAAAAGCTTAGAGAGCTTAGAGAGCTTAGAGAGCTAGAGAGCTAGAGAGTAGAAGAATCATGCGTACCTTACGCCATTTGGGTTAGTGCCTTTATATAATAGAGCAGTCGTGGAGCTCATGAAAGAGCTTCGGGATATCCGAGGTGTGGAGATAGAATTCGTTCCGCTTCCGAAGGAGCAGTAGATAAGGCTTATCGTTCCACTTCCGACTCCGACGGAGCCGGGATGAGCCCTCATCGTAATCTCGGAAAAGTCGGGATCTGTTAGCTCATCGTGATCTCGAGGGATTCGGGATTTGGGTTCCGTTGGAGAGACCTCTGAAATTGGTTACGTGGGAATCAATTACGTGGCGATCCTGAACTGGTACTTCGGTTCCTTAGTTCCGAACTGGATTGAATGCCAAAGTACTTTGATGTCGAGGTGAGCCTTATGCCGAGGTGGCCCTGCACCGAGGTGACTGAATACTCGATCTCAACTATTGCGAACTAGGCATGTCAGGTTGAACTGTCATCTCTTGGTCAGGTCGTGTCCACATGTCCCCTCTTCATCAGTTTGTATTTGAGTTATCTTCAAAACTGAGAAAGAGTGGTTAATAAATGTTTTTCTACTTTTATTTGACAACTAAGCGATAGTAAACGCCATTAAACACCACATAAGCAGAACAATAAATAAGCACATTGATGTTGGAGGAAACATTAAAATGAAGCTTCCAAAATGGTTGGCTTACACATAATCCGAGAGAAATATTTATTTTATAAATAGGCTTACCAAATAGCACTTTGGGACAAATGACAACATGGGGATGAACTGACATTGTTTTTCAAATAAACATAAGCCATATCAAGTTCAATTGGTCATTCACCATCTCATCGGTGTTGTGTATTCCAGTGGACCAACTAAAGCTGTCTTGTGGGGGATAAGTATTTTTTGAATTAAGTACTTATAAGAAAAGCACCTTTGCCTTATTTAGGGGTGCTTATGGCATGCCTTTTTTTTTTAACCAAGTGTTATTTTAGGATGCTTATGGCTTCTTGAAAGCAATAAGCCCTAAAAGCACTTGTCCCTGCAGGGCCAAAGCTACATTACATCTTGCCATGGGCCAGTTGGATCATATTCATCCTAGTGCCCATCTGGGAGGGCTTTCATGCATTGGCTTCTAACTTTGTAAGGTTGTCCCACACATAGAAAGCCTAGAAAAATATAGAAAGTCCAAACACATCCCGTTTGGGAGGGCTTTGCAATGGAGGTTTTTGTTTTCTTTTTCTTTTTCTTTGCGTAGGAGGTAAGGTGTGTTAATTCAGCCATGGTGATTGAGCACATGCGTTATGGAGAACCTACGTGGAGTAATTTCCTATTTTAGTTGTGTTCCTTACGTTCAAAACAAAATAACTGATTTTCCAAATCTTCACCAAACATAACCTTTAACATTCTTATATGGGGCCCAGCTCAGAATGCCAGGAGCTATATCTTAAAAGCCATCCCAAACAGACACTTACTAGCTTATTCAAAGCGGCTCTAGGAAAGCGGCTCAACAAAGCTAAAGCCCTCTCAAACTTGTCTAATCTATTTCCCATTTGCCCGCAAACTCTTCCTACAAGGCGACAAGCTTACTCACGGGATACTATCGCCATATATTAATATCATCTCCCTTGTCATTGGTGACGGGCCCCCGTCCTACCAAAATTCGGAAGGAAGGGAGTAGTACCCACCATCCACTCTGCGTGTCTGTCCGAGAATAAGAAAGACGACTAATAATTGAATCAATCAGAGAACTGTCAGTCCCAATTGAACAATCTTAGCCGTTAAACCAATCATATATTTTTGGAGATTAAATGTGACAAAGGGATCAAAGTGCATAGCACACCTATTTAAAATTCGGTTTAAATATCAACTTTTATTTGACGGGCCCACTCATCTGGAGGCCCTTGGACCGTATATGGGAAAGTAGGCTTTTCACCACTTTGAACGACCGGATTCCAAAACTCCATGCAATCCGGCTTAATGAAAATACATCCGTTACTGAATTGAACGTTTATTCACCACATTTCAAATTTTAAATTTTAAACCATCCATGAATCAAAAGAAGTTAAAAAACAACTCTCCTCCTTCACCTTTTTCCCTCTCTCGCCACCTCAAAACTCAGAACTATTGCTTACTCTCGGCTCCGACCAGTTTGTACTCTAGACTACTACTTTTGAGTAATAGAATTAGCGGAAATGGCTCTCAGGCCCCTTGATAACGCTCTTCCAACCACGCCGGAAAGGCCCAAAAAAGTCGCAAAGATCGCCATTTCTACCAGAAAGCCATCTTCTGATCTGGGAGTCAATGATGAAAACAAGGCCCCACCGGCGGCGACTGGGGACCTGGCAGTCGATTACATTGCATCAAAGGATCTCAAGGCCTTACCAGAGCCAGAAACCAAGATTCAAGTAACTTCTTTTCTTTTTCTCCCTGAACGCAGCTTAATTCGTTCTTTTTCTCATTCTATACTTAATTGCTTTCGGGGTTAGCTGTATCCATCTCTCGTATTCAATCCATTATCGATGTGGAAGAAATTTCAATGGGTTCCATTCATTTTCTATTTTATTTCCGTAGATTTCTTGCACTTCTTTCTGATGTTCTTTGAATTTCTACCAAAACAGAGCTTAATGGAGGGACTAAATTCAAAGGACTGGACGAAGGTGTGCGAGTCACTAAATGGCACGAGGCGATTCGCACTTCACCACTCCTCATTGTTGCTACCGATCTTGTAAAGCCATCTCCCTCCACTGCTACTTCTCTCTCTCCTCTTTAACATATAAGTTCCAGAAGAACTAGGATTTTCTCATCTGTATGTAACGCCTGCAGAGACAAAGTCACTCAGGTAATGGTGAAAGCAATGAAAAATCCCAGAAGCGCACTCTGTAAGACGTCCATTATGGCTTCGTCCGACGTCTTCAACGCCTTCGGCGGTAACATACTCGATTCCGCCGCCTCCGATGCCTTTGATCCCTTGGTATGTAGGACAGACCCATCGCTCTCAATTTCTGTTCCGAAACCATCCACCCATCATCAAATTCTGTCTGGTTTGATAATTCTGCAAGAAAGCTCTAGATTCGAATGAAACATTTAACTCGACCAAAATGCTGATTATTTTGTGCTTGTGTGTGTTTGTGGTTGAATGAATGAATGAATGAATAGCTGCTGCAGCTTCTGCTGAAGGCATCTCAGGATAAGCGGTTCGTGTGCGAAGAAGCAGACAGGGCGCTGCAGGCTATGGTAGCTTCCATGCCGCCTGTTCCCCTTCTCCATAAGCTCCGGGCCTACGTTAGCCACGCCAATCTTAGAGTGAGAGCTAAAGCTGCTGTCGTCATTTCAAACTGCGTCTCCAATATGGTATGTGGGGTAGATTTAGAAAGCTTTTGGGAAGCTAGCATTCATCGAGCTTCTCCTAACCTGATTTTCATTTACTTCTGTAACAGGGACTAGGAGGAATGAAAGAGTTCGGGTTGGTTTCTCTGATTCAACTGGCCGCTGATTTACTGAATGACAGGCTCCCCGAAGCAAGAGAAGCCGCCCGGAGCACGGTGACTTCAATCCATGAGGCGTTCATTAGAGATGAAGCACTGAACACTAATGACGGATCGTCGCTGGTTGAGCGGTGGCAGAGCTTCTGCTCTTCTAACTTACCACCCATTCAAGCACAATCAGTGATGAAGATAATCCCATCTTAGTTGTGGCCATCGCCACAGTAGCAGAGTAGCCGCAGGAGCASAATTAGCTTTATTTTTCAGAATTGGTATTAATTAGACATTTTTGTAGATGGCATAAATCATGTAAATGCTGCTTTTACATGATAAATGAGCAAAGATGTGTTGAACAATCATGAGGAAGCTATCTTCGCGTGTAATTAGGAAGACGAAGCATATTAGTAACAAATAAAGCGAGAAAATTAATGGAGAATTGTTCCGTGTATCACAAGATCCCGGTTAACGGACAGTATTTCCCAACTTTGTGGGGATGACTGGTTTGATCTGGCTTCTTCATTCCATTTACTTCAGACGAACGGGCACAAAATTCACAATAATTTTGCACTGGTTGCTGACCCGATTCTGACAACCATGAAGTATATATCGGGAGTTCGTGGAATTGAAATCCATTGAATTGGAACATCACATATATTGGAGTATAAATTTACTTGAATGCAAATTTATTTCTTTTTTATAGAGTTCTTAGGCTGCATTTAGAAATCATGCAAATGGAGTATAAATCCTCGATTACTGTAAATTTGTAATCTGGTTCACTTTTACTGTGTTTGGCAGCATTACATTGACAAATGGCATAACAATGCATACTTACATCGATAATAAGATGTAAAAGTACATCAATAAAAAAAAGTAAATTTGCATTTAAGTAAGATTTTGATTAAAAAAAAATATGTTTTATTGAAATTTATATTTGCATCCATTACAGCTAAAAGTCTGTTTAGTAAAAAGATAAATTTGTCAGTGCAGATTTCGGGTTTTTGGTGCGCCTATGGTAATGGGCTTTGGTAACACTAGTTATTCTCAAGATGACTTGAATTTCGGGTTGTATTTATTCCCAATCTATTAGATTCAAGACGTTTATTTTGTTTTATAATTCTTTCTCCTGCTTCTTTCTTTTAATCATTGTGTTGTATGTTTTTGTAATGCCGATCAATTTGGATGGCATCAACAATGTAACATACCAGGTTGGTGGAAACGGTTAACAAACCATTAACATAGATAAACGTAGATGTTGTTTTATTGATGATCGATTGTAGATTACCAACTAATGTTATGTAAAACATGATTAATATCATCATAATTTTATTTGATGGTATGATGGGGCCAAGCTCACTGTTGTGTTACAATACTATTTGTCCCAACCGATGGTCACAACATGACCTGTAAATGGGTGTCCAACTTGTTTAATCGATAGCCATATGGATGAGGACTCGGACCTAATGATCTATGGTTGAACGTCTTTATGGGCTAACATATATGATTTTAATGATAAAATAAATTTTTTTAACAAGGTTTATAAGCTTAATAGGTGTTTGGCATTGATGCCGTTTTTCTGAGAAAGCAATGCCATGTAGGTGCCAAATCAGGAAAAAAAAATGGTGTTTCAGAAAACAATCCCTTATTTGGTAATGTTTTTTCATAAAAATATTGCTTCAAACCATACCTTGAAAATTGGGAAAGTGTGGTACGAAGCAACACCAAATTTGATGTTTTTTAAGAAAACAATTTGTTGCTACCAAAGGTGCAATGATGTGGCATCAATGTGGCATCATCTTGGACGTTGGATAATATGACAATGCTGAAAATGATTCTACAACACTGGTATCAAACAAAATAAGTACTGTTTTCCCAAAAAAACAGCCTATGTGGCAGCATCACTTCCAAACAAATGCTTACAACTCACACATTCCCAACACAGTTTTATGAGAAAAAAGTGTGGTGTTCCCAACACCATGCCAAACACCTACTTATTAATTGGTTGACAATTTTGCTCACTAAAATCATACCTTACATGCCCACCATATTTAATTTGCCTAGGAGAATGCAGTGGACCCCACATACAATTAATATATATTGTTGACCAGTAGAGAATTTGGACTTGTCTGATGCCATGTCATCAAATGTAGTCATTGAGAGACCAAAATTATCAATGTCTGGTTCGCAGTCAAGATTAGAATCAAAATCTTTCGAAATCATAATCGGAATTGGAATGGTCTATTCCCATAGCCTATTTTGTTAAGACGGGAATGAAAATGATAACTAGAATCAACAAGAATGAGATTTCATTCCCAACAAAAGGGGAAGGAATAGCCATTCCCTCAAATGGGAGATGCCATTCCAGCAAGAATGAGAATGGGATTCTGATTCCATCCAACTAAAAGGTTAGAATTAGAATAGCACATTCCAATTCCAATTCCAGACCCCTATTCCTATGAGCTAAATGAGGCCCTAATTGTAGGGCTCACTCAACAAGGTCCCAATTGCGTTAGTTTGTTTTATTAGTTATGGACTAAGGACTCATTACCTATAGTAACGTTTTTACCTATAGTAATGTTTGGCATTAGATAGCTTAGACCAGAAAATACCAACTTGCTGGTGGGATTAGTGACCTATTTGTTATGGGTTGAACCGAACTGGTTTGAACCAGTTCAACTAATATAAGTAGGCTAGTGGTCCGGTTCATGGATGAACCGATTGGGTTGTTCAAAAACCACAATTGACCACGTTGTTTGATTTTTTTTTTTTTTTGGAAACTATTTACACCATCAAATTGGAATTTACGAATTGGTCTCAAAATTAATTATTTGAATTACCTATTTTATTAAATGGGTCTAGCCAAGGATGCTGGAGTATGATATTGGCATTAAATCAGTAATTGCTTGGGCCCAGAGGCAAGCAACTGTGATTTAAATGTGAGTCATTAAATCACTAATGGCCAAATGTTTGGAAAGGGTGAGTGATTTCTCGTTCTCAAATTATCTTGATGATTGGCGATAATAATTTAAAACTGAGAATTCAGATATTGTCATTCTCAATAACACCAATTGATGATACCAAATATTTTAGTACGGATCCCACCTATCAACACAGATGTTAGAGGCACCAAAGTAACACGAACAAGAGCAAGTGTTAGAATTATAGAGCCTAAGAAGATTACCTATGGTTCTTAGCCCCTATTTATAGGTGAGGTGCCATTGTCTGCATTACGTCATTTGTAATGGCTCTGCATATCGGGGTACAATGAAAGTTAGGGCCACTAAAGTGTTTACCACGTAGTCGACCATTAAGGCCATTGTGAAATATCAGAGATGCCCTTTGAGGCATGTGAAATGATGAGATTGCCCCTAGTGGTGCCACGTGTCCATCAGGGATTCGATGTTTCCTTACTTTTTTTTTGTGGCCTATGTGTACCTGTTTCCTTACTTTTCATTCAAATCAAACACAACCTTAAGTTGAGGTTATGCTATTTGTGTGTATGTGTGTGTGTTTTATTTCTTATTTGTGATATTTTCCTATAAACTGAGATATCATTATTGGTTGCTGTTTAATTACGAGAACTATTCATCTTCTTTGGTTGTTGGTGTTGTAGGTGGATTGTCTTTGGGTTTAGTTTCAAGAGAGGAGTAAGAATGGGTAAACTTAGTTTTTCTTTTCTTTTTTTTTTAAGAAAAAAAATTAAGTTAAAATTTTGAAATCTCCCCTAAAGTTTCTAGTTGTTGCTGAAACCTCAATTGAAGTTTGGTAATTGCAATCACCTCCTTGAATTTTCTAACATAGTTGCAAGTAGACCCCTTTTGTTTGAATCTTCTAAAAAAATGCATGAAAATGTCTAAAATATTCATACATTTACTTTTGATCAAAATGTTCGTTTTTACAAATTTTCTCTTCATATGAATCACTAACCCAAACCCTTCCAATATATTTTTTTCTGAAATTGATTTATTTTTCAAGTTTGCCCTTTATATCAATCGCTCAAATGTAAAGATGCAACTTTGAGTTCTCCTTTCTTTTTGTTGTTGTCTATAAAATTTGTGTTGCTTGTTTTTTGGTAAAAAACAGACTTAATAGTAAATGCACTTTCTCTTTTTAAAAGATTCTAATAGAAGGGGTCTACTTGAAAATGTGTAAAAAAATTTAGGGAAAGTGATTGCAATTACAAAACTTCACGGGAGGTTTTAGCAATTCACCCAAACATGCTCTCATGTAGAAACTACAAATTGATTTATACATAGTGGTAGGAGAGAGGGTTGTCCAATAAAATGACATCACCCAATAGAAAAGGTCTTAGTCCAATTTAAAAAAATGGGATGAAATTTCGAGGGAGGTTTTAAGTCTTTTACCCTAGAATATTTTGAGATGACAAAACAATATAATATCTAAAATTATCATTCCATGATAGAGGCTTGTCAAGTATAATGAGATCTTATTGGGTCAAATTTCATAAGCATAGGATTGGTTGAGTCTAGTATTACAAACCCTAGGTTTGGGTCTATGTGTGCACAAACTCGAACCATTGACAGCTTTTGAAGTTGGATCTAGCTCTGCATCAATCTATTAGTCGATAAATCTAACTCACATCATGTGAACCCATGGGTTCACAGGAGGCGTGGACCCTCCAATGAATTTTAAACACGACTCTTGACACGCAAACTGATGGGATTCTTGTCTTAACGACGAATTTCTTGGTTGGACCGGGTACTAAAAGCTCAAAATAACTTCCTATTCAACATTCAAACGAACATATCCTCTTTCCCTCTTTTTCTCTCACTCACACACGCGCGCGCACACATGAAATCCTCTTTTGTTATCTTTTGTCTAAACCTTAATCATTAACTAGACCACTGACGTCCAACGATACCATTAGTGAGTGATGACCGGTGGCAACTGACGTCAAGCGACAACTTCTTCTTCTTCTTCTTAAATGTAACCTAACATTTGGGCGCTGGTGATTGGTATGGTTACTATTCGGGTCATGGCTGAATTGGCCCCGGGAGATGCGTGGCCGCTTAGTTATCGTCCTACCACATTATTCTAGTTTGGCTGAGTTACGCTATTGTTGTGGCCCCCCATCTTATCCTTCTAGCTACGTCAACTACACGTCATATGGATGAGCACAACTACAGATAAGGAGGAATAAGGAAAGACGACTCCGCTGGAGAATGGGACTCTATCCCGAATATCTTGACAGTTAACCTCATCCCGACAATTCCGGAAGCCTAATCCGACCAGGACATGGATCTTCGGCTATAAAAAGGTACTCCATGCTCGAGGTAAGGGATCAAACTTCTAAGATCTACACCGCTACTTAGCTCAGACCGACATCTTTATAGCTTAGCCCGATCATCCTACCACCTCCTACTGGCTTGAGCGTTGGAGTTTTTATCCAGGGATAACTCCTTGGGCCTTTGACTTTTGTTTCCTTAATCATAAATCTTAAAGCATGGCCTCGTTCAAGGCTCTCCAGTGGCCATTCACCCCATCCGTTCAAGCACAATTAAGATAATTGACCATTCAAGCCAAAATCCAACTTAATGGCCATGTAGAAAAGACTCTGAATCTCCTGCCCACCTCTATCYGCAACACACTATCCCCGTGAATTGGRAACATTTCCCCCTGCATAATACTATGCAGAAGATGAGATGTTCTTCATGTATGGCTACGATAAACATTGAGAGTGGTCCACTAAGAAGGGGAACAGTTGCTGGAGCCTGAGAGCCATACATTTTGAAAGTATCCAATAGGAGACATTAGTAAGGCTAATAGGCCGATATTGTCCAATTTCAGAAGGACTCTTGCATTTTGGTATGAGTGAAATCTCTATAAGGTTGGCTTGGTTTGGTATCGATGCACTGTTGAACCAAGTTTGGATGGTTAGATCAGGGCTGATGATGTCCGAGAAAGGTTTTTCTTTCTGAATATGGGCCTACCAAGTTTGGTATCGACCACATTAGTTTAATATGGGCCTACAAACTTGTTCAGATCTGGGCCCATATGGGCCTACCAAGTTTGGTATCGACCAAGCAATTTCAGGTTTTTCTTTCTTCTTTATATATTAATATAATGCGGATACTTGGCTTCATGTCCAGACTACCACTTGAAAACCATTTTACTCTCTCTCTCTTTCTCTCTCTCTCTCTACATAGAGGGCATGCGAATAGCTTCCTTACTTGAGTATCTCCTTCGTGTCAGTCCTTTTCCTTTGTATGAGACTGAGGGGTATTAATTCAGTAGGGAATATCACAGCCTTCTTCTAGATGTTGCTTCTTTTCAAAGAAATGCAAGTTGCAACAGACTACCCCCTACCCCTAGCCAAGCGTTGCATCTCTATCTCTAGTATTTGTACTTGTCTCATCACCCTAAATATTTGCATCTCACAACAAGGGAAATTAAGAAGGAAGAAGGATGGGGCAAGTCATGATAAAATTAGCAAATGGTACCTCTCTCTCTCTCTATTATCTATTTTTGTCTATGTTCTTACAAATAGAATTTGTGGGATTTTTGACTGAGGATAAATGGGCTTATATTTATTAGGAAATTCATTGAAAAAGTAAAAATTTTCTTTTAAAATTTAATTAGGATGATTTTGTAATGCAACAAGTTTCCTTACCTCTATGAAATTGGAGCTGTCTCTTACTGCCTTTTATTTTCTTTTTGTAGGAAGCGAGGACGAGGAAAAGAAGGCTAAGAGAATTGAACCCATAATAGATGAATGCTATAACAATATCACTGTCGATGCCAAGGACTATGCTGGTTTTTACCGTGCAGTTTGTCAAGCCGTCGAGTCTCTCTCTCTTTCTCTCTCTCTCTCTCTTGTGGACTTGAGGAGTGTTGTGTTAATCACCCACTTGAGCCTAGGGATGACAAGTTTTCCCATTTTTTCGAATGGGGCATGGATGGGAATGATTTTTTCCCATACAGACGGGAATGGGGAAATTTTCATCCCTGTTAGCAGGGATGGGGCAGGAGCGGGGACAGGGAGAGCACTCTTCGCCCCGTGGGATCTCCACTAATATATATATGTATATATATACATATACGTCTATATATTAATATTTTTAAAAATATGTTTGAATATTTTCCCCGTTAGTGGGAATGACGATGAAGAGAAGCTCCCCGTTCCCACCCCACCTCGCTGCCACTCCTACTTGAGCCCAAAACCTAAAATTTCTGGCATATTAAATTAATGTGGGTTTGTACAGAGAAAGTTTAATCCTCCATGGATCAAGAGGCCCAATGGGTTGTTCACAGAAATGGCCGTTCATCCTTGTTACCTAAGAATCTGGCCGAGTCCCAGGTTTGGTGGGTTGGGACCTTTTTGGCTATTTTACTGGGCTAACCGCATGGTTGAATCATCAACCTAGCACAGAGCCAACTTTTCAGGTTGAATCTGGCTCACTTTTAAATCAATGGTAGCAACAACAAATGGTTTCTTTTTCACGTTTCCAACCGAGGTAATTGGATCTTTGGGCCGTGTCCAATATTGTCCCACCAGGTCTCTACGCTGCCTTGACCCAGTAGTTGAGACTAGAGGTGATCATCAAAAACCGAAAAACTGAATTAGACCAAAAGTTCCAGTTAACTGAACCTGTTGGTTTGATTTCGGTTTGGTGTTTTTGAAAACCCAAAGGTATCAGTTCGATTATGGTTAATCAATATAAAAAACTAGCGGTTAACTGAACCGATCCAGTATATATGTAATATTATATATATTTTATTATTTTGGTTATATATTTAATAATTTATATATTTATTTAAAACATATTATAAATATCAAAAAACCAATGGAATGATATCAATTCGGTTTAAAAATGGGTAAGCACCCCTAGTTGAGATGGTCAGTTGGTATCCTTCCAAAATAAGAGGCAAGGATGTAGACCTCTGCAAATTTGCAGTCTCTTTGATGCCCCAGAAAAGCCTTTACACCCTTTTTTTTGTGGTTTTATAGACCCGAATTCTTCTAAACATGGATAATATAACTGTTTTCTATTTATCTTGACAGAGAAATCAATAAACAGCTCGGCAACACACAGTTCAGTGTACCAAGCACCACAAAGCTTCAAGAAGCATTTGAAGTAAGTAGAACATCTCACAAAGAAGCATTTGAAAACAAATAGATTTCTAAACAAAACACAGGAAATATGTTCTTGATGTTTTTTTTTTTATGTTTGCAAGACTGAAACAAAAAACATGTTCTTAAATTTCTGGTTCTAAAGATTGATGTCATGTTCCATGGATCATATACTAACTATAATCCAAAATTTGTTTTGTTTCACAAATCATTGTTTTGATGGTTTGGAAAACACGAGTTGTTATTTGAAATAATAGTCATTTTTTAATGGGCCCTTTTTTTTGGATTTTGAGGGGGTGAAGTTGGTCAATTGGATTTTGGTTCCCATTGACCAATATATTCATGTTCTCTTTTCAGATTTAGTAAGTGATACCTATTTCCCAGATGGATAATTAACTTTCCCGACTAGGGGAAAAGTTGTCAACACTTGGATGTGACAAAATTGCCTATTTTAATAATGGGTTTTTATGGCAAAAATGATCATTTTCCTATTTACATGGGAAATAAAAGAACATGGGTAAATACATTTACCTGGGCCTAAGAATATTTGAAACACTTACCCAGATAAATAACTTCCCGAAAAATGAACGGAGCCTAAGAGTATTTGAAATAGTATAGTCAATGCATACTTTTCAAAAGGGTTTGATTATATATATCAGAAAAAAAAAACGTCTAACCAATCAACTCATATTATAAAACTGGCAACAAATCAGTTGGGATTCATCAAAATTCAAAGGATTTTGATTGGTAAATCTTTTTCAATATCATAGCTTTCCRCATCATGGATTTACACAAATTAAAATACAATTTATTTTATAACATGTTTCTTTTTTTTTATTTTTTTACACTAATGTAAAAGTTAAAAAAAAAAAACAAAAAAGGCATTCATCTTGCAGAACATCCCCGTAATTAGAGGCACTTTACACTGTTAGTGTTGAATATGCCAAATTGAATCAATTTTTAACTAAAACAAACATGACAGAGTGGCACCACAGTTAACTCGGGGGTGTTGATTCGGTGACTACCCCGAATTGTTGACATAACTACTAAGCAGGTGGAGACGATTTACAGTGGTGACTGCCAATATACATGATTCCTCAAGTCATGTGGTAGATTCAAATGACACCCTTTATTCCAACCGAGTCCTGATTTTCTTAACTCCATAGCTTGACTCATCTAACTCAAATTTTTTGCAGACCCGATTCAAAACCTGAGTAAGTATAAGATAACGGCTGAAGTTGCTGAACTGAATAACTTATTATTTTATCTTTTAATGGTCAAAATAATTAAATAATAAAATATCCAAAGGTATAGTAATCTATTCAGAGCCCACAATCTCATTAAAAAAACCTATTTGTTAAGACAAAGCAATAAGCTTTTCAATTAATTGTTCTTATTATTGATTGATTTCCCCCTATCATATATATTAAAGAAAAGGCAAACTTTGTTGCAGAAACACCATAAAGGGAAAGAAAGTGGCTCCTTGACGAAAGAAGAATTTGGAAAAATCCTCCAAGATGTGATCTACGGTGCAGGATTGACAGGAACAGGAGCAAAGGCTATGCTACTTTCAATATTTGGTGTCCCAATAATGTCAATGTTTATTAAACAACGTATCATTCCAAAAGCAATTCCCAATGAACTTTTTCTTCCTTGTATCACTTCTGCCACTGTCTTCATCCTTGCAAAACTAAACAAGATATGAAAACCAATTTATGCTTCTTATGTCATATTGATCAGAAAAATGGCAATATTTCCAGGTTTCTTTTTCAATGGAATTCTGTGACTGGATCATGAAAATATCTTATTTGATTTACTATAGAGACAAAGATCACTTACAAATCTAGCATCTCTTGAGAAATAACAACTATGAATTTTTTTTTTTTTGGTAAAGCAACTATGAAAGTTCAGTAGTTGCTCTTTTTCTTTATATTCTTGGCTATCAGCATTAAAGCATAGAAGGCACAGAGATAGAGTAATGATTTGTCTATTGTTCGGCCGTTTGCCAAACTTATGGAGAAAGAGATGAATGCGTAGGCAAGGAGGGGCAAGGCGAATGAGAGGTCTACTTGAAAGATGATTGATGGATCTAGAGGTGGAGGATGAATGAGGCAGTTGTAGGCTTGGGGAATGTTAGGGTTTCAATCCAACAGGACTTATATAGGGATTCTGGAAGACTGAGGTGAGGAGAGTCTTTGACATTTCTTATTTATAGACATGAGACGTGTAAAGGAGTGAAACATTCTCGATGTGTGAAATTTTGTTATTTAGTTAAATCTAAAACAAGCAGAACGATTGGGGTATTACCACATGTCAATGCAGAGATCTTGGGATTTGAGTTAATGCCCTTCTCTTTAAGGTTTGTACATAAGCAATAGYTAGCTACTACCTCCTCTTGGGATTCCATTTCCAAAATGTTCAACTGTTGATTGCCATCTTGTGATGGATCATAGGGCGTTGAAGTAGTATCATAGAGTAAGTATAAATAATATAGCTATGATATTGAACTGTTGTGACCTGATGTGATGCTAAGGCGAGGTGCCATTGCAACATAGGAGGTTGTTGTAGTGTATTATCAAATCATGGGGCAAGATTGTAATGGTGAGATTCATAAGTTAAGACAATTGTACTCATTATGCGATGTTGATATGCTTTTTCATATTGTAGGATAAAAGCATGGGTTGCGATTTTGTGGTTGTTGCAAGCAGAGGTGTGATTTGATGAATTTGAGGTTTATATTGCAAATCTGCAGTGTGGCTATATTATGGTGATGCATTTGCACAGCCTTCATTGCAATTCCCATGATGTCTATATCCATGTACTTACAAATGCTTTGACACAAAAGTTAATTAATCAGTTAGAAATTACTAGGTCTACAGTCAAGCATAAAAGCACGCAATGTTGGTAATTAAACCTTAAAAAAATGAAAAAGTAAATTATTAAATTTATGTAACTAAAAGGAAGTTGGAAAACAAAAACTCATAAGCAGTGAGATTACTCCTCATATATGGAATAGTTACAACAAAACTTAAACTTTGTGGTTCTTGGTAAATTAATTTTCTTACAAATATATTATTTAGAAATAAATTCAATGAAAAAACAACTGTAGAATTGACTTACTATAACACTAATTTAGACTCTTCTGTCAAATCCCATTATGTTCTAATCCTATATCATAAGTGGTGGACGCAACTCTTTAGTTAGAGAAATAACACAAAAATGAAATGACAATTTTTATAAAGTGTAAATACATGATATATTTAAATTGGTGGGACTGCAATCATATATGAAACTAATAACCCAATAGTTGAAATGTTGAGATGATGATTTGGCATCACTCCAAAAAAAAAACGAGGTTTTGGATATCAAACTCGTGAGATAGGGCTGCAAGTCAGGTTAGTCGATTTGAAGAATTTCAGTTACTAATCCAACAATCATCTTATTTATAATAAATGAATAAAATAACATTTATCAATTTTAATGTCCACATGTAATCTTGACAAATAACATATATTCTTATTCAACAACTCCAACTAAATATTAAAATTAATATTTTGCATATTAATGAAATAAATAATTTCTCAAATCCACATTCATATAAAAAATTGGTCTTTAATCTCAAGAAATTTATACAATTAAAAATATCAATGATAAAAGACTTAAACATACCTTAAGTTTTCAGAAATTGACTTAACATACATCGATTTTAAAAATATACTTAAATCTACCTTGTGGACAAACCCCACTAGACTTAAACATATGTTTCTTTACCAAAACATTAATAACCATTTGCATATGTCACCAATGACGATTTTAAAACTTTAAAAACCCTGTTTTGCTTGTTGTTTTTTTGTCTTTACAACATTCATTGCACAAAGTGATATCAAAAGGCAAGGAATCAAGCAAAACAATGTTGTTTATTTACTATTTTCTTTTGTCAAGTAATCATTTATAACAATATACTCTTTATTGGTCATATTCAACTTTCGACCATATATTAGAGACCAAATCCACTCTACAAACTAAAAAGTAAAGGAAAGAGATAATAAGTAGTACCTTGGAACTATATGAAAAGCGACATGTATGGTCAGTTCATCATATCTATAAACTTTTTGAACAAAAACCAGTGAAAAAGGCAATGACATGGTTTCCATGGAGATGCAACAGGAACTTGATGTCTCATTTATGCAACTTGTAATATAAGTTGATCATTCACAAACCATGGGCTCTCATTTAATTAAAAGTTTTCTTTTAAGCTTAAGTGGCATTTTTGGCATGTCATGTTCATGTAATCATTATTTATAGTTATCAACAAAAGCAAAGTTGATGAAAGAAAATTTAACATCAAAACCAAATTTTGTAATTACTTCTCAACCTCCAAAACCTTATTTCTCCATGTTGAATTGAAGTATAGAATAATTTGTTTAAAAAGGTTTATTTTACCCATAGATATAAGAGTTAAAAAAAAATCAAATAAAAATGTTTTTCTAAATGAAATTATTTCAACATTGCAGTTGACTTTATACAATTTGTTTTCTCTCATTATGATATATGATGCACAATGAAGTCTTTATTTATTTATTTATTTATTTTTGTTTCATCTAACATTGATTGTTGTTCACAGATATTTACATATCAATGACATAAATATGCACCAGAAATACTATCACCTATTTGATAAAATTTATTTCATGTTTAACCTGTTTGGCCATAAGGATATTGAAGATGGCATTGAAAAAATACAATTTGCACATTTTATTAATTTCCCAAATATAAAGTCTAAGAAGTCACTTCTATGTGCACTTGTACATTGTTAGAACATGCAACCATCATTGTTTAGACTTGAGACTAAACAGTATATCTCCGATTACTAGGTTGATTATACATACATAAACATTGGAAATAGTATATCTTCGATTTATCAATTTATTAATGCAATTTTTCAAATATACAGTGAAATTATTTGGACTGATGGGATTAATATCTTAGTTGGGATACACTTGTACTCATTATTCGACGGTGGCCTGATATGGGATGTTGTATGTAAATCTTAAGACAAATTCTTTCACCTAGAATAATTATATATTTGTTATAATTTGTATATAACTATTATGTTACATTTTTTTTTATATTCCATAAATGCATGTTGGTATCTTTTAMTTGAAATGAAGCATCAGAAGTTGGGCGATGCTAAAATTGATAAGTTCTTGTATAATAACATGTATGCTCAGGTATTGGGTTTTAATGTTTTATATTCCATTTATTATGTACTCATATCTTAAATAATATATTTTTTCACGTTTTCAAATATATATACTATAAATTTATTAAAACGGGAGACAATGCTACAATTAAATCTTATATTGGCCATCTTTTAAGGCAACAATATAGCAAATTATTTACACCACTACAAAGTAATGAACATTGGCATCTTTTGTTAATAAACAAGCATGATAGTTGCATGGAATGGTATAGTTCAATCCAATCTGCTATATACAAGTAGTTTGCTATAATCAATGATTAAAATATCGATATCGGGTATCGCATCGAACAACTTAGATACAAATACAAATACGTTTTGGAAACTCATGGATACAAACAAAAAATATGGAAATGTTCAGATACGTTAAGGAAATGCATACAAATTCTATAAATATATTAATAGCATTAAGTTTAATGCCAAAATAACTATAAATAATGTATAAATACATAAGAATTGTATATTTAAATGGTATATATATGAAGAAATATATTATAATTAATATAATGGGACATGTAGATATTATACAATTTTATTAATAATATATCAATCAAGAGTCCAAGGCACATATTATATAGATTTTTACAAATTAATACATGTAAAAATCCATTATTATTTTATTTTCTATTAAAGTGTAAGGCATAAAACATATGTAACTATTATATCAAATTTTATATTTTACTATTTATAATTTTTAACATTAACAAAAAAATTAATTCTCAAACATTTGGTAAACAATATTTTTATTTTTATAAACAACAAATATGATATTATAAAATGTAAATTAAAATATAAATTAATAATTTATAAAAATATATAATCTTAACTTAAAATATATAAGATCGATTAAAATTTTAAGATGCATATCATATGAAAATTCATAAATTTTAATTACTAAAATAATTATTCCTTGTTAATATTTTTATTTTTATAAATTTCTAAGTTAAAAACATATTTTTTGATAAATTCAACTTATATTATATTTTCAAATATCTTGTAAACGATATTTTTATTTTTGTAAATAATAAATACATTGATATTTAATGCAAATTAAAATATTAATTAATAATTTCTAAAAATTTTAAGATATATATCATGTGTAAATTTATAAATTGTAAGTATTAAAATAATTATTCTATTATTAATATTTTTATTTATATAAAACTTTTAAATCAAATTTATTTTTAATATATATATATATATATATATATTGTGTGTGTGTGTGGATTTTTAAATTATTTATTCCATTGATTTATAAAATATAATTTTTTAATATTATTCCTTTTAATTTGTAACCGGAGTTGTTCAAAATAAATGTATATTGTTTTTCTATTGCATGTAGACATTAATTTTAATAAAAGTAAATTTATTACCTTTGACGACATGAAATAAGAAGTATCTTTGTGGTTAAAAAGGCATAGGCGTATAAGCATTGAATGACCATGGTTCGAATCATGCCACTTTCCTTTTTTATATTGAGTTGCTACGTCATATTATTGTGAATCTAGGATCG